CTCCCCCTCTCTCTCTAACAAGCCCCCTCACCAATAAACCCTCTCTAATAAGTCCTCCTTTCTCTAATAAGCCCCCTCTCTTTCTTTCTCTAATAAGCCTCCCATCTCTCTCTAATAAGCTTCCTCTCTTTCTCTCTCTAATAAGTTTCCCCCTCTAATAAGCCCCCCTCTCTAATACGCCCCTTCTTTCTCTAATAAAGCCCCCATTGGTATCAACGAAATGAATTTTTTTTCAACATTTTAAGATTTATGTACTCCATGGCCTAAGGGAAACGTACATCGTCCTGTGAGAATCATTACACGAAACTACCTGTTCGCAGGCCCTTCATTGAGACATCCCAAGTCACATAATGTCCAACTCAAGGTTAGCATTATGAAGGCATAATCATTACCTTACTTGTATTAAAATTCGCGCAGTACTAGAATTCGCGCAGCGCTGGGTGCAAATTTAATCCGTGCGAAAAGCTTTGTGGTGTAATATGAAACACTCATTGTTAGTAATGCAATCAGTTGAATTAATAACTGATTTGCATTACTATTTGCATCATGTTATTGTATTAGGCAAATGAGAACCATACAATAATTTTTTCAGTTCTTGTCGGTAATTTGAACTCAAGCTTTATTATCATGAATTTTGCTTACATTACATCGCGTATCGAAAAATATTTCACGCGACATTAAAAAATTTGCCTCTTAAAGATAAAAAACTAAACATATTTTTTAAGTTTGCGTGTCGATTGAGAAACGTTTTGAAAATGTTTAGTATAGTCAAGCAGCACATTATACTCGTTAGTTTTGAGCTTCTGTTACGTAACATACACTATAATCTCCTCATAATTATATCGATAACACTGTTTATATAATGATTCTGAACTGTCATCTATGTTTGTCAATTTCAGATTTACCTAAAAGATTTAACGTTGGATGAACATGCACGAAAGAAGATGATCGAGCTTACAGGACATCGGTATAACGAAGAAAACGATGAGCTAACAATAACTGCTGACAGGTACAGTATTTAGGAATAATAGAAACGTGCAAAATTATCGTTGATCGATAACACTCTTAGACCACATTCAACGCTACGCCAGAGCGGTTCAAAATTTTGATCTCAACAAGTTTAGACAAAATTCCATCACAGCATGAAAGAGCATCACAAAATTAGTGATATTCCAAAGTTTCGTCGCGAAATGTTGTAAAATGCGGATAATATAGCCTTGCGAAATTTGCAATTTTCAGTCATTTTGTATTACGAGCGGGAAACGGTTACCACTTTTCCAAAATTTTAATCTCAACTAGCCTAAACAAAAATTTCATCACAGCTTGAAAGAGCATCACAAAATTAGTAATATTCCAAAGTTTCGTTGCGAAATGTTGAAAATGCGGATAATATAGTCTTGCGAAATTTGCAATTTTCAGTCATTTTAGATTACAAACGGGAAATGTTACCACTTTTCCAAAATTTTGATCTTAACTAGCCTAAACAAAAATTTCATCACAGCTTGAAAGAGCATCACAAAATTAGTAATATTCCAAAGTTTCGTTGCGAAATGTTGTAAAATGCGGATAATATAGCCTTGCGAAGTTTGTAATTTTCAGTCATTTTGTATTACGCACGGGAAATTGACAGCCCAATCGGGTGTTGGGGCATCAATTTCCCGTTTGTAATACAAAATGACTGAAAATTGCAAACTTATCCTAAGGCTATATTATCCGCATTTTACAACTTTTCGCAACGAAACTTTGGAATATTACTAATTTTGTGATACTCTTTCAAGCTGTGATGAAATTTTTGTCTAGACTTGTTGAGTTCAAAATTTTGGTTGATGTGGGATTGGTCCATTGTTTGAAAACGTCACTTTTGTCGTAACAATTTGAGCAGGGTTTCTAAACGGATCGAGATGAAAACGGGGCGCTTGGCGGCTTCGTGTCAACACAAACGCCGTTACTTTTCTGTACCGCTTTTGCAAACCAAGCATCTTATAAGTGTCAAAACAGTAAATTCGAATGCTCTTCGTTGAAATTTCTTTGCTCTATTTGAAATATTTTGGGTTTACATGAGTGCTAATTTAATTTGTAAACAAACTGCAAGGGCCTAGTGTGAACACACGTAAATTCTGCCGGCATTGTTTATGTCTTAGTGTTGTTTATGTCTGTGATTTTGTTCTCCCTTTGTAGATGTCCATCTAGAAAACAGAATCGAGATTACGCTATGTATCTTTTAAATGTTTTATATCATGAGTCCTGGGTACGTTACTACTGCTTTACGTCAACTAAACTACCTGTATATTTACGGTCAAATGTCGTCATTTCTAAACTGTTCTTCCTACAGGTCCAGTAAGGATCATCTCTTATTGATCCAGTGTCACTACAGGAGGAAACCTAAACTAAACTACCTCTGTTTATACTGGATAGCTCTATCCGTTTTAAACTGTTCACCCTAGAGGTCCAGTAAGGATAGTCTCTTATTGATCCAGTGTTACTACAGGAGTAAACCTAAACTAAATTAACTTTATTTATACTGGATAGCTCTATCAGTTCTAAACTGTTCTTCCTAGAGGTCCAGTAAGGATCATCTCTTATTTGATCCAGTGTTACTACAGGAGGAAACCTAAACTAAACTAAGTTTATTTATACTGGATAGCTCTATCAGTTCTAAACTGTTCTTCCTAGAGGTCCAGTAAGGATCATCTCTTATTGATCCAGTATTACTACAGGAGGAAAACTAAACTAAACTAACTTTATTTATACTGGATAGCTCTATCAGTTCTAAATTGTTCTTCCTAGAGGTCCAGTAAGGATCATCTCTTATTGATCCAGTGTTACTACAGGAGGAAACCTAAACTAAACTAACTTTATTTATACTAGCTGGATAGCTCTATCAGTTCTAAACTGTTCTTCCTAGAGGTCCAGTAAGGATCATCTCTTATTGATCCAGTGTTACTACAGGAGGAAACCTAAACTAAACTAACTTTATTTATACTTGATAACTCTATCAGTTCTAAACTGTTCTTCCTAGAGGTCCAGTAAGGATCATGTCTTATTGATCCAGTGTTACTACAGGAGGAAACCTAAACTAAACTAACTTTATTTATACTGGATAGCTCTATCAGTTCTAAAGTGTTCTTCCTAGAGGTCCAGTAAGGATCATCTCTTATTGATCCAGTGTTACTACAGGAGGAAACCTAAACTAAACTAACTTTATTTATAGTGGATAACTTTATCAGTTCTAAACTGTTCTTCCTAGAGGTCCAGTAAGGATCATCTCTTATTGATTCAGTGTTACTACAGCAGGAAACCTAAACTAAACTAACTTTATTTATACTGGATAGCTATATAAGTTATGGACTGTTCGTCCTAGAACTCCAGTACAATCATTGCCTATTGGTCAACCCATTCTCTTCTTTGGTAATTATGATATACGTCATACATGACTAATACATTGAAAACCAAGACCATGCTCATCCATTCTCCCCAACAACTTAAGAATACTTCAGACCGTTCTCTATCAGTTACTCTTAATGGCAACATACTTGCACAGGTGAAGCAAGCAAAAGTGTTGGGTTAACGCTTGACGAGTTTTTAAATTGGACCAAGCATATTGACAACTTGTGTTCAACAATCAATAGTAGACTTGCTTTATTATGCAGGATTAAACCCTTTTTAATTAACTAAGGACTGTGCTCTTCGTTTCTATAACTCCTGTATTAATTCAAGTCTTATCTACTGCTCTGTAACTTGGGGAAACTGCTCAAAAACACTTTTACTTCGCATTCTTCGACTGCAAAAGCGTGCAGCACGTATTATTCTAGACGAGAGAAGAGTAAGCGCGGGGGCCTTGGCATATGCCAGTAATGTCATATGTTTAATCCAGCATTGCTTATAACCTGAATAGAACACGAGGTTTTTGGTAGAATCGAACTAAAACGGCGAAGTGATAGTCAGACAACTACATACATAAATTACACCACTGGACTGTAACTTTCAAACAATATATTTAACATTTCAATACATACAATGTTAAATACAACAGTGTTTATCTATTTGTGCGAATGTGTATAAGGGCAAAGTTCAGATGCATGCAAAATTTACACTTTAAACTAATGTTTCAAACTTGTTCTTTTAAACTACAATTACAATATTCTGAATATATCAGAATTTACAGCACCAATCACGTCCATTCCACTATTGTACACATTGTACACTACTTTTCCAAATTATCTTCAAATAACATGCATATAGCGACAAAAACGGGTACAAATTTCCTTCGATACTTTTACCTTCGCCAGGTTATGTTTTCGTCCGCGTCACTTATTTCGCCGGCGGATGTATTTAAGTTGAAAGTTTCATACAAGATTGAATTTGGCCATTTGGGGAAAGTTGTCAAAGTGACGTAAACCAACCATGCGCATGAGCAGAACGGACTGACTACTGCCTTTACAAATTTCAAAAAGAACACAAAAAGATTATATTTATCGCCATGCGATCCTAGAAATAACAGATTTTAAGAATCTGTGCATGGTATACAAATTATCTATATAAATTATCAAATTAACATGGACAATATTATAATGAAAATGTGCAAATAAAACAATATAGTTAAGAAATTGAAGTTACATGATAAGAGGTTGACATGTAACCAAAACGCCACAACATCGCACAGGTGAAATAAGCGATGTTTGTATTTTAATTTCAGAGGCAGAAGTGGATCGAGAATTAAGCGTGTCGCCTCTTTAATTAGATTAAAGTCATCCATAGGGCTTGCGTGGACAGTAGATTGAAATAGCCTATGCCTATGGGGATTTGTATGCTTACTGTCACAGAGTAAGCTCTCCTCAGGGCCGCCCAGAGGGAGGGATGCAAAGGGGGCAATTTGCCCCGGGCCGCAGGCTTAAGAGGGCCCACAAAAGGGAATTGTAGGGAGTGGAAATGGCCCCCCAAAACTTCCAACAGGGTATTTTGCCACGGCTTCCCAAAAAGCTCTGGGCGGTCCTGGTTCATCTGTGCTCTCGCAGTTTAGAATAATGAGCACCAGGTGTTTCTCTTCAGACTGCGATGGACTGGTGTCCGTCTTGTAATCAGCCGTGTAATATATCATACACAAGAAGTATATATTATGGTTTTAAACACAATAGCCGAAACTTTTGGGGCATCCAGTCAATGTTTGTGTTCGTTTATCCATTCATGATAATACACAGGGACTCATTTTCGCCATTGGTTAACTTGACGAGAAAACAATAAACACGTAACGAAGAACGAACATATTTTTGGATAAACGTAAACACAGATTATTCGATTTACTATTTGAACTAAACTAAGACTCTTGTCTCGTACCCAGGCTTCAGAGAAAGAACTACAATGGGTGGACGGAAAAATGTCCTCTTCCCAATAATCTGTTCGCGTATTGCCCAGCCATTATATAGTACTTCTGTACTTCATGTTGCCTGGGTATGAGGCAACTAAAAATCTACTTTTCTAAAAATAATTACCGTAAATGATCCAATAAACGCCTGCGGTCTTTAATATATTTTCGTACTTTAAAGGCCGAGAGACATCGGACGCGATTCGACAACGCGGTGAGATTTTTCAATTCTCATTTAGAAGCGCTATAACATTTTTTTGGTCTACATATCTTTTAAAATTCCCCTTCATTGGCGGTTTTATTAATTTTCAAAAACTGAAAGATCGCGCTACCGGTTATCGAATCGCGTTCGGTGTATCTCAGTCTTTAAAATGAGGATCCTGCATAGATATCTTATATACACTTAATAGTGCCTATAATTATTCTGCAATTCAATAATTGAAGCCGTGATTGCAGAGTCAGGATATTCCCATGAAATGAGAAGACTCGTATGTTTTCTATTTCTTAAACAGGGAACTTAAACATTGAGTTAAACCTATTCCGAATACATTTTTAAATTATTCAAATGATGAAAGTTATTGTTGTTTTTAAGCGCTTATTAGTAAGTGGGAAACTTCAACATGGGCGCCATCTATTCAAAGCTGGAATAACCGCCGGAATATTCTTGGCTTCAATTTTACTAAAAGAGATGCGCTATCTAGTGTATATATGAGATCCTCAACTGTCTGTGGAAGTTTAACTATAGCGTCAATAATATGAACAAGCTTTCGTTGGTAGGTATGCAACTACCTGAAAACATAAGGAAAATTTCGACTTTTCCAGCGAAGGTCAAGACGAAAGGTCTTCAGTCGAAACGTCGAAATTCTCCTTATATTTTTCAGGAAGTCGCATTCCTACCAACGAAAGCTTATTTAAAATGAGGAGGCGCTTATTAGATAAAAAGCGTGTATTCTTACATGAGGTGATTTTTCGCTGCTTAAACAAAGCCTTTCTGTACTTTGTTCTGCAGCCAGTTTGTAAATGGCGTAAAAAAGTCAAACGTTAAAGCGCATGCTCCAACACATATAATTTGATGCAATAAATATGCAAACTAATAAACATTTCATGTAATCTAATAAACTCCTCTCTAGAGACCGGCGCGTTTATTAGATATGCCCATCCGTTTAATCTCCATCGATGCTGATTTTTTAAAATGGAATTTGCGATTTAGATCTGTATTTTTGGAGAAGTACAACACTAGTTTAAAACTACAGAAAGCATGTTTCAGTAAGATACTGTCCAAAAATACGGATCTAAATCGTGAATTGAAAAAACTGTATTGAGCCACCTTAATAGAAAGGAGGCTTATTATGCCTTATCGAATTCGATTGGCTTATTTGAACCCGCGGGGCGTTGAGGCGAGGCGTTTATAAGAGAGTGGGCGTTTATTAGATCATTTACGGTGTCACGTGACTTGCTTGTCAAAATTATTTACCTTAATGTAAGTATGAGCACACTTTCAATTTAGATATAGTGTTTCGATTTCTGACGGAGAGAATTTAAAGCTCCCTGCAAGGAGCGAGCTTGTGTTGGTTTCGCCGGAAGTGTATCCATGTGGAGATTGGTAGGTGAGACCAAAATTTGTGAGGGAGCCGGTATTTGATCCCGCATTGTCGGCAATGTACAAGTCATTATCCCCACCAAATGTTGGTCCATAACGACTATCACAGTAAATTGCCGCCCCGTCATTCTCATCTTTCAGCGGAGCCTTGAAAGGCGCAAGGTCGTCATTATTTTGAAGAGAAAACAAAAATGATCCTCGAGCAGATGTATAACCATCTGTCAAAAATAAACACAATAATCTCTGGTTAGATATGATTACCTCACTCGACAAAACTGAATAACGAAATAGATTTAGATTTATTAAAAAAATAAACGTTTTGCAATCAAAGATTGAATTACACGGTTTTACATTACAGAATTTTTATAAATTACATTATTTAAAATTAAGTTATACACGGGTATAAAAATTAAAAACAGGAGCGTAGGAATGTTATAAAAGTTAGGAAGGCGAAATTTTGAAAATTTTAAGTCTTCAGATAATCGGAAATATCATTTTCAGGCATGATATACAGCTATTTCAATTAAGGTTGTCCCCCGAGCAAAGAGGAAAAGTCGAATACGGGCGCGAAAGGCTGCTGGGAATCGCTAATGAATGAATTTATTGGCGATTCCCAGCAGCCTTTCGCCCTCGTATTCGACTTTTCCGCTTTGCTCGGGGAACAACCTTAATTGAAATAGCTGTAGACGGTTCAAATACTCCAGTTTTGAGAATTTCGCAGTACTTTTTAATTATTTTTTTAAGTCCAATAATTTTACGGGTGGAAGACCGTGAGCAAATTGCGCCCGCTAAACTAAATACCTGACTATGTGAGTTGCATTCCATCTATTGCTCATTATGATATCAAATTATTCCATGTTTTCGTCATTTCTCTTTATTTACAAAAAGCGTCCGCTATTCTTGAAACTGGAAATTCCTATATTCTCAGTATTTTCTAAGTTTAGATATGTATGTGGGTCATAGATATAAGTTTATGAGAGGGGGATGGGAGAGGGGGGTTGGGCCCAATCATTTTTAAGTTGGGAGAATCAAAAATTAAAATCGTCCACATAGAAATAAATTGTCGTAAGGTTATTCATCAGTAATTGTTCTGGAAATGAGAATTTGCTGAAACTTCCCAGGGATGAAGTTTATGTTATGTTATGTTATGTTATGTTATGTTATGTTATGTTATGTTATGTTATATTATACCTCAAATTCAAATTGTCCAATCAGGAAGCTTAGTTTGTGCCACGTGAGCATGAAATTAATCGCGATATCACGCCTTACGTCATCAATTAGCGAGCCTGCGTTCCTTTTGACAATGTTCCACCCCATGTTCCCCGGGGAACATGGGGTGGAACATTATTCGCGTACACCACGCGGGAGAACACGCATGACAACAAGATGGCCGACAAAACGTAAATAGTATTAATGGTGATGAATAATTCAATTTTAAACCTAAAACCCGGGCCTTTTTCAAACCTAAAACCTGGGGTTTTGTCATTAATATTCCAAACGATATGTGATTCGAAAGAAAAGCGACGACACTTGCGTTAATCCGAAAATAAGACGTCGTATTCACGAAGGTATGTGTCAAGTTTTTAATTCTCAACTTGGAGGCTTTTAATTTTCGGTATAATATATCATTTATAGACCTTTCGCTCGGTGGATTCGGCGAAATATTACCCTCAGTGACGATATTTCCCTCGGGGCAAAGCCCCTCGGGAAATATCATCACTTCGGGTAATATTTCGCCGAATCCCCCTCGCTCCAGGTCTATAAATGATAAATGTTATGTTATGTTATGTTATGTTAAACAGAGGTCACCGAACTCGTTTCGAAGATATGACAAGTGCATTATGCCACCTTTCCCCCCATATGGCGCCATCTTTTACGAGTTACAGGACCAATCGCTCAACCGTTTTGAATTTTTTAACAAGGATCCTACTAAAAATGTCTATCTAGTGATTATATACAAGAAAACATGGTATTCAAAACCATCGACGTGCATTGTCGTGGTCCAAAGCTGCTCAGACATGTTATTTTGGAAAGCATTCGCGAGAAATGTAAAATTTTATAAGCTGTAGAAATAATTTTCCTCTTATTTTCTGATATGACATGTAAGAGATATAAAAGAACAAAAATATAAAATAAAAAGGCACCAGGGTTAGTAAACATGCAACAAGGGTTAGTAAACATGCAACAGGGTTACCAGGTGTTGGGGATTGCCTCCAAGTATCGCCCAAAATAAATCACAACAAAACACAGTATAATATCTATTACAAAATCACAAGTTTCACAGTTTCACCGCCACATGTTTTTTAAGTTCTCCCCTGGCAAAAACAACAACCACCGGTATAATCCGGAACTTTCCGAAGTGTTTAAAGTTTGGACTCGCGCGTCCCACGCGTGAACATAAATACTAATTCTAGATTACGACAGTTTCCGACACTCTCCCCCCATATACCTTACAGCGAGGTATATGTCCCTCAAAGGAGACTGGTCTAACCAAACAGTACTAATAAAGGATAAAGTTCTATAAAAGTTCAGTGTTCAATTTGCACTATATAGTTTTCGTCAACGTTCTACTTCTGCTACCTCTTTAATGCGTTGTTGAGCTGCCACTGCAGCATCTCGTCTTGGTCGGAACGACGCCGCTTCCGGGTTTAAGTTGATAGGTTCCTTTGTTTCTGTACGGTCACAGGATAACTCGAGTGGATACAGGTGGTTCACTGCTCGTTCAAGGTAGGTTTTTCCTGCACGAAGTTTCACCGCACGAACAACACCATCACGTCCTTTGTACAGCTCGTCGACAACACCGAGAGGCCACTTTCCACGACTTCGTTCATCCGATTGTATAATAACCACGTCACCCTTTTTCACCGTGAACGACGTCTTCTTGTGATTTTGGTTATGCCGCTCACGTAGACCGCGCAGATATTCCGTTGACCATCTCCGCCACATTGCTTGCTTGCACTTTAACAAATACCTTGCACGCTTGCATAGATCCTTTTCTTGTATGTGATGTGCTTCCAGCTCTGGCGCGAATGTAGAACCAATGAACATCATGGAGTTAGGCGTTAGCGTTGGTAGCTGTACATCATCTTCCATGTAGCTGAGTGGTCTTGTATTCAATGCTACTTCGATGTCTACGAGGACCTCCTTCAGCTCGTCCCAACTCAGCGACCTTTTGCCAATTGTTTTATGTAGAGCTCTTTTTACCAATCCGATTAAGCGCTCGAACTGGCCACCCCACCATGGGGCGCGACTCAGGTTGAACTGCCATCTAATTCGATTCTTGCTGAGGAATTCGTTAACTTTTCATCGTTTTGAGCTGTTCGTAACCAGTTTGCTGCTGAAACAAACGTTTTTGCATTGTCAGAGTAGACTTTGCTTGGTCTCCCTTTCCTTGCGATGAATTTCTTAAAACTCTCGATAAACTTTCCTG